TTAATGCAGCATTGCTGACAATGTTTGTGGATAAATCCCGTACCTGTGACAGTGGTGGTGGGCTGGGTTGGGGGTATGGGGAAAACACAGCAATTGATGGCAGGGCTGAATAATGTCTCCTGTTCCTTTGTCTCCCATTAATTTTAAGTCATGTCTTCACCAACTCTTTCCAGATCTGTGACAATCGTTGGTCAATCCCTCTGTTACCAGAATACAGATAAAGGCCAATTAACCTAGAAATCCCGGGATAGTTTTTCCCCTCCCAGTTTTTCCCCTCTGAGATGGTTCGTACACCCCTATATGTACACCCACGATATATACTCACTAATGCATGCAAGTCCCTATAACTAGATATAACTTGACTAATGAGTTCTTCCACGTCGACAGGTACCACCAATCGCTATTTAAATGAAAGCAAATTGGGAAACTTCAGTCAATCAGAGGTTTATTTTTGAACAACTCTGTGACCTAGGCTGAACCTGTTTGTGTATGCCCTCTTTTGATTTATACGGAAAGCTCGAGTAAAAGCACGGTTAAATAAACTCGACGGAATTTTATTGTGGCTTCGATGAAACCCACAGCCCCAGGCATTAAATCTTAAAACGACACGATATATATCAACAAACACAATTCTGAGATAACAAACATTAATCACACTTAAACTGCACACGCTAGCAGCCACTTGTAATAAAGTTAATCTAAAAGTGCTCGAAGAGCCATCCGCTGACTACAACTCCTCAACACAGAGCCACCATGAGTACATGGCGCTCGTTCTTTTATGGGCAATGAACCCCTCCCAGAATTAGGGTAATTACCCCAATGGTAATGGTAACAGCTCCAATTTATTTGATGTAATTGATGCCCTTCTTATGGTCCGATTTAAAATCATCCTTTAGGTGAACCCAATAGTGAGACGGTTACCCATCGAATTGTTGCAATCGACGCGCCAGTTCCACTTTTATAGCGTTATAAATATATCGAGTAGCCCTTTAAATACATTTTTTAACGTAGTTAATGTTTTTGTTACTCATGGTGCCATCAAGTCTGACTCTCCGAAACTGATGAGAAGGTCTACAAAGCTTTCCGGGGTTTGCCCGAGCGCAACCGGTAATCGCTAACCTCAGTTACACCGGCTGATGATTTTCGCGAACGCAAACCTTCCGGGACATATTTTAAAACAGCGGACAGGCCGAGAAAACAGAGGGGTGAACGTGGCAAGCGGATACCACTTGCTGGTTATACGGGGGGAGGGAGTTGGTGGGGGAATTGCTCGCTGGGGTGGCAGTGTTGAGAGAAAC